AAAAAAAATCAAAATGCCCCTTGAGCCTGTAAAAGTTGCTTGTAAAACTCTGTTAACTGGAGTTATCTGAAACACAGTCTTTCTGGATCTTTTTTGCCCTGTCCAGTAAGGTTTTAAGATGAGCAATAGTAATGCCATTTGTCTTGCAGCTTGTCCCTCCCCCCTCCCTTTTTCCTTCTTCTTTGTTTGCTTCCAGTGCAACCATTTATGTCCCAACATCAATGGTTTTCTTTGGAAGTGTCATTTGTCTTTGTTTTTAATGGAGTTCTGCGTGACCTGGTTTTGAGGCCTTCTTGCAGAGTGAGCTTGAGGTCTGGCTGGTAACACTAGCAAAACCAGGATGCTTAGGATATGCATGTGAAAATACATAGACCTAGAAGGAAAATAAGAAAGACAAAATTATACCCTTGATAACACCACAAATGTTAGGAATTGTGCAAACTCCATAAGCCAGTGCGAAATACAGTGCAAAAGGGTAAATGCAGAAATTAAGAACTTGACCTAGAAATGATCAAAATTCACTCCAGAATTGCACACATCCTCTAGATGTGACATCTGCTGAAAATGTTTCCATGGATGTGAATGAGGCAAGGAATTGTCTGGCAAAGTGCAGGACCTACCCCTCATCTCCTGCACCCCAAATCTGGGAGCTCAGCTAAACCCACATAAATCAACACTGGACTTAATCAGCTCATATCTGTCTCAACATCAAAGATCATAAAATGATCCATTCTGAAGAAACCTCTTTTATTTTTAGGTCATAAAGCATGTACCAGTAGAAAACAAACAAATGAAAAATGACACCAAGCGACTGAATGAGAAAGCAAAAATCCATCCCAAATGTGGAGATCTGAAATAAGTCAAAACATTAAACTTCTGAGCGACAGAGGTCACTTAATGACAATTACAAAAGGGCCTTGTTTTTAAAGGCAACTATTCAGAGATACCTTTATCTGATATCTTATTGAATATTGAGTATTTTTGTTTCTAATACCTTGGTATGCACAGGATTGAACAGAAAACAAATATACTAAAATCAACCTGAGTAGCCTGGAGAGGACTAAGTTTGGGAGCAGTAGCATCCAGCTCCTAAACAGAGATGCACTTTTGGACAGTCTCGTATATCCTTCTCAGTACAGATCTTAAAAAAACTTGCAAGGTGCTTATGACCACATTTAGGTGTTCAGTGCTCCAAAAATTCATGGGTTCATCCAAAGGTCTATAATTTCTTCGCTTAATCCTGCCCCAAAGGTCTACAATTTCCTTGCTTTCCTTGCTTCCTTCCCTAAGTTCCCAGGAAAATGAATGTGTGAAAAATCCAATTTATGTAAGAATACATAAAGACTGAGAAATAAGAGATAAGTGTTCTGCCTTGGTATTAATAGCTTATCAAGTTATGGGGAATGCCAAAAATCACTCCTAACTTTATTAAATATGCTGTTTGAATTCCTTTCCAATTATGATGAAATATCTATTGCTTTTGAGAGTGGTTTGTCTTATTTAACAAAAGTTTGTGCTTGTCTAGGTATAGTAGTTAGAAAAGAGAACTTACTTGTAAAACTTAATTGTGGGCTCAACAGCCAGCATAACAAAAGGTGCAACCGTATAGCAAACGGCCAGCTGAGTGACAAGCCAGGTAACAATATCATAGACTACCTTGAGAGGCACTGGTGCGAGGAAGTAATGTCTGCAATTGCTTCTTATCTGCAGGTCAAGGAAAAGCAAACGAAAATGATAGGAGTTAATTTCTTAGGTACGGTCCCACAGGCACCCTCTGGTGTCTTCTATTACACCCTCATCAACATTAGTACTACAGAAAACTTCATACACCAGTTAGAAAGCACTGTCAGTAGAAAGGAAGACAGGGGTCTGTTGATTGGCATACCTAAAATCCCACAATCAAACAGTAGTAAACAGAGAAGAACGGCCCATTTTCCACTGTGATAGTCACCAGAGCAGGCCCGTGACTTTGGACTGATGTTTGGGCAGTATCTTTGAGGGAGGGACGTCTTCATGACTGATCTCCCTCTGTGTCTTCTGTGCTTAACAATCCTCATTTGTGAGATGAAGTTACTTTAAATAAACAAGCACGTGTTTATGTTTATATGTGCAAACATGCTTAGTTATTTATAGAGGTGGGTTTGGCTTTCTGTCAATGAAATGGGCCCTCATGCAAGAGTGGCAAAGCACATATTAGGGTGGCAGGCTTAGCAACTCACTGTAGCCATGGGGGCTAATGCTGATCACTAGTTTAATTCACCTTTCAGACTGACCTGGATACTCATCTACAGTAAAACTCAAAATCAGTGGTGGTGCTTCCCAGCTCTGCACAGCGGGCTGGTTCAGCCTGAAAGGTTGGCAGTGATGAATCTAACCCCAGGAAAACATGAAATCTATCGAGTCTTTGGTAACTGTGCCCAAGATCAGACTCATGCATGCAGAGCAGTGTCTCAGCCCACTGCATCCCCACAGACAGGGTTAAAACTTGAGCTAATGCTCAGCCCGTGACCGAGCTTTCCTCCCTTGAGAGAGACACTGGGCTCAGAGCTGATTACAGGCCAGCATACAGGCAACATGGACTAGCTCAAGTCTGAACTCAAGCATAAGCTTGAATATGGGCATAGCCAATAAAGAGCATTACCAACCCCATTCCTAACTGTAGATTCAAACTTTCTCAGAAATCCAGGGACAACATTGCAGCACAGGCAGAGTCAGTGCTGGCTGCAGCCGGTGGGGGGTACCTTGGAACTAGTATTAAAACAGAGCAAAGCTGCTGTGAATGTTTCGTTCCCTGCAAAGGCGTGTTAAGAGGACTCTGAGAGCATCAGAGAGATCCCTGCAGGAGACAGGGGCATAGTACCTAATGTTGGCCTGGGAAGAGAACAACGCGAGGTACGTACTGCTCTGGCTGCGAGTGTGACAAGGATTCCTGTGAGGAATGTAAAATAATATCCAGGATAGACACCATGCCACAGGGCCGACAGGATAAATGTTAAAGCTGTAGGGTACCAAGGAGCTCTGTCATAACAAACTCTGCAAGGAATAAAACAAAACAAGAAATAAGTGGCTGAATATGACTGAGCAATGATTACTGCATTTCAAATCCTTCTCCATTTGTGTGGCCTTACTCCACTTTCTTAAGGGCTTCATCTTACTTCAGTTACAGATCAAGGCATCCTCTCTTCATCTACATGAGAGTCATTGGAGAGACAAGTGTACTCTCGTGCAATGAGTATTCAAAGACCCCCTGTACAAAATGTTACCAATGCTAATAGAATTTAAATAAGGAAAAAGGAAAAGAGGTGGGCAAAATGCTCATTCACTTTTACAGTGACAGTGTTGTTCTGCATCTGGAATTGTGCTAGGCTCTTCAATACTCTAATAGTAAATCAAGAGTAGAAAGACAGAGACATCACCCTACTCCTCACTGGCGAATGCAGGTATTTTTAAGGCATTGCTGTCTTGCTTACTGTGCACAATGGAAAGTGCTTTTAACTATTGCAAAGTAGTGGATTTCTGCTTTTATCATCCCAAAATTCTACTGCAAAGACATAAATGATGTGGTAAATGATACCAGTTCAAGAACACCCTGACAAGCCCATTTGGTTTCTGAGTTTTAACTGAAATGAGTCAAGATAACACATTTGTTCCCAGAAGCATTATTAGAATCATAAAGAGTAGCAGAAATTGATTTTAAGATGCATGCATGGTGTCAGAAAGTGTAGTTATAAATAACAAGTGCAATCTACAAAATTTGGACTTAGCAGCTACATGAGCGTTAACAGCCGTGGTTCCAAATCAGTCCCTCCTGCTGTTTTGGGAGGTCTCTTCTCCACATCCTAAACTGGGACTCTCCAACAAGCATTGTGTAATAACCCCACACTGGAGGCTCTGGATGAAAACCTGATCATTCCTCCTTTTCTAACTGAGCTGGATCGCAGGGACACAGCCTGGCTGTCCCAAAGCAGCAATGCCATGGGAAAGACAACAGAGGACAAATAGCTACTGAAACAGGATAGCCAGGATAACGGAGGCCAATGGCAGCAGTGTGAAAGATGCCTTCAGAATGCTATTACTTCTTATTATGGAAGAGTTGACCGGTTCATTTATGGTCTTGCTGCTGATGTATAAAATGCAGACATTTTCAATTTGCAGCAATAAAACTTTATAGCATCAAATATCATTGTAGTATATCAACTGCTATAGAGTCAGGGAAGAAAGAAAGAACAAGAGGCTATGCACTGGTGGCATTCACTAGCCAGTGTTTTTCCAGGTTTCTAGAGCTTCCAGCTATCTAGAGTTTTTGGATCTCACAAGCAAATCACCATTTCATTACTCTTACCGTTTTAGCCAGGCAGCTGTCTGAATGTTCCAGTTTTCAAGGTACATTTTAAAACTTGTTGCAGTCTAAGAGAGAAGAAATTCACATGAAATGTTAGCTTTGTCCAGTGCAATAATACTTGGATTTAAAATTAGAGAAGTGGTACATGCAACACATTCACTCTAGTAGCCAACTGTAGTGAAGACTGTCAACACAGTCCATAACTATACCAATACGTTTTGGGAGGGACACTAATCAGGTTGTGCTCACCACTAACATTTGGTGCTGCTGTAAGATCTCACTTTGCTTTGTAAAATTTGCAAAAACAACCAAAATATTTGGTTATTGTTCACATAATGTGAAATGCAGAAAGCTTTCCTTGTTTTAAATGTTTGTCCTTCCCTACAGTTCACAAACAGCTTCATTTTTGAAAGACATACCCTGCCATCCATTACACAGTCTGGACTTCCCTAGAGTGCTGTTAAGTGTTATAAAGACTAAAAGAAACACATTATTACTTGGAGAAGGAAGAAAAAGACTGGAAAGCATGGACAAAACATGTTAGGACCAAATTTAGAAGGCAATTCTCAGTTCATTTGACACGTCATGAAACTGAAATGGGCGCTAGGGTACTAGGAGCACGATCCTTTACAGCATCAGTTCCCCTACTCCTGGTTAACTTCCTCTCTGGCCATTCCCTGCCCACCTTCCTCCTCCTCGCTTGCCTGGTGACAGAAACTCTGAGGACTTCTTCATCAAGTAAGAATAAATAACTGGTGTCCACCAATTCAGTGGAAGCATGATGTTTTGCCACATGAACTGACGACAAGGGCACACTGTCAAGAAAGTGCCAAGGGGAATATCCAGATGTTCTTGCACTTCTGTGCATAATCCTGAAGATTAGCACTGTCAAGCTCTGTGGCTAAGGAGTTAAAACAATTAGCAACTCCCAATGCAGCACTGCCACATTTTAATTGCATTACTGCACCAAAAGCAGCCAAAGGAAATACTATTTCTTTTCCAAATAATATTGTCACTCTCTTCTGGCCTCTTAAATTCTCCTGTTACGTTACCAAGAAAGGCAGCAGTCTTTGGCTGTCAAAATACACGTGCTGCCAGGGTTTTCTTCAAGCACTCCATTTGTATTTGGCTTCCTGTCACACTTTCAATGCCTTTATAATTTCTGTCACATGCTATATTCACCTGAACATTATGGACCAGAGCAGTTTGTGGCCATATTCAGCACCCAGCTCAAGTTCTCAGTTCTCAAGCATTTTTACATGTGACAGTGTCTATTCCTGCCTAAAAGGTACTGCATAATAGCACTTAAACTTTAACTCCAAGGCCTGTGGACAGTGTACAAAGAGACAGTACAAGACTTGCGGGAAATAATGGTCTCATTATTATTTTACACACAGACAAATCCATGGAGAGCACATTTTTCTCCTGCTCACTCAGGTGCTCTCCAGGGTAAGACCAGTAAATCACGAAAACTCTAGTACCTCACGACACCTGACAGGGCTTTTAAGGATGGTTTGGCCCCTCTGTTTTAAGCATTTGGAAATGATTTCACCACCATGATCCCTGTTGCCCCTATGTGCAGTAAAGGAAAAAGATTTAATGGGGCCTACTGTTCAGTGGGCAGAGAGGAGTAGAAGATCCTACCTTCCTCTGCTGGGCTTGACTAAGGAGAACTGCCTGCATCTAACTTTCTACCGTGGAGCAGGAACTGTCCCAGACAGCCTAGTGAGGAACTGTCTCCTGCCTGGAAACTGAATAAGGTCCTCCTTCAAGATCTCAGGATGATATCTGGGGCGCTGCCTTTCTCATTGAGTGTAAAGCATTTACTGCTGTGTATTCAGTACCACTCAACAGACTTGTACTGAAGATGAAAGCAGAAAACAGAAAATGGATGTTAACAAGAGAGAGCGTATAATGATTCTTTCAGCTTTTGCATCTTCCAACGTTTTCCAACACTGAATTAGAGCAGCCCTTGCATTTTAGAGAAGAGCTATCAGAGCATATTTGTTCAGTCACATATCATTCAGAAGTGCAGCAGT